AGGTTCACAGGTCCACCGGGCCTCTATCACCAGCCCTGGGAAGCCCAGGCAGTGTGCCCGGATGTGAAGTTTCCTGACTTGCGCCTTGGGCATCTCAGGGACAAGCGGCTTTGTCTGAGGGGGCTGGGAACAGGTCAGCAGGGAGAAGTGTGCAGTCTTTGCTGGGGATAAGGTAAGGACCCTGAGGTGGTCCACCAAAGGTACGGGCTCCCTCTACTCAGCGCCCCATTTCCCTCCTTCCAGTCTCTGTACTGCTCCCTCTTCCTCCCCCTTACATGCTACCTCCCCCGCTACCACCACCTCATGCAAGCCCTCCTCCCTCCATGCTTCCCTAGCCCCACCTTGCGCCTGTCGGCCCTGGGAAGACTCCGGCAGGGTCCCGCTGATGTGGAGTTTCCTGACTTGTGGCTTGGGCGTCTGACGGTACTGGAGTCGCGTCTGCAGGGAGATAGGTCCAGGCCCTGCCGGAGGTAAGGTGAGGACCCTCAGGCAGGGACAGAGAGGTTCTCCACCAAAGGTAGAGGTTCCCTCCACTCAGCCCCCTACTCCATTCCCCTTCCCCTGCCACCCCCCATGCCACGCCTCCCTTCTTGCTCCCCAGCCCCACCCTTCCCCAGCTATCATCCCTAGGAAACCCCAGGCAGGGTCCCCGTATGAGTAGTTTTCTGACTTGCACCTTGGGCGTCTGAAGGACAAGCGGCTTTGTCTGAGGTGGCCTGAGTCGGGTCAGCAGGGAGAGGGGTCCAGGCCCTGCCAGGGGCAAGGTGAAGCCCCTGAGGGAAGACACAGAGGTCCTCCACCCCAGGTAGAGGCCCCTTCCACTCAGCAACCTCCCTTTCCTCCTCCCGGTCTCTGCGCTGCTGCTCCTTCCCCCCCCCCATGCAGCCCCTCCGCCCTCCATACTCCTCTAGCCCCACCCCACCCCTGTCTTCAGTCCTGGGTAGCCCCAGACAGGGTCCCCGTATGTGGAGTTTCCTGACTTGCGCCTTGGGCATCTGACCCCCCATGCCGCCCCTCCGCCTCCATACTCCTCTAGCCCCACCCCACCCCTGTATTCAGTCCTGGGTAGCCCCAGCCAGGCAGGGTCCCCGTATGTGGAGTTTCCTGACTTGCGCCTTGGGCATCTGAGGGCAAACCGCTTTTGTTGGAGAGGACCAGAGTCGGTCAGCAGGGAGAGGGTCCAGGCCCTGCCAGGAGCAAGGTGAGGCCCCTAGGGAGCACAGAGAGGTCCTCCTCCCTGTTTCTGCACTGCTACTCCTTCCTCCTCCCTCCATGCTGGTCCTCCCCTTGCCACAGCGTTATGCCACCCCTCCTCCCTCCATGTTTCGCTAGCCCTACCTTGCCCATTAGCCGTGGGAACCCTCAGGCAGGGTCCCCGTCTGTGGGGTTTTCTGACTTGTGCTTGGGCGTCTGGGAGACTCGTGACTTTGAGGGGACCAGAGTCAGGTCAGCAGAGAGAGAGTCCAGGCCTTGCCAGGGGCGTGGTGAGAACCCTATTTTGAGCAGGTGGTGACAAATGATTACTGAAAATTTATGTCTTTCCACAGTGTCAGGTTTATGAATACTTAAGAAAATCAACAGACCAAGGGTGGCTGCCTCCACCCAGGAAGGCCTTCTGCAAGCAAGAGTAGATGAACAGAGTTAGTACTTAGAGCCCGTGTCAGGGACGAGCTTGTGGAGGGTCCCAATGTCTGCAGTGCTTGTGATGAGGCCTGTAGTGCCGCCTTCTTCAGCTTAGTCGTGGCAATGTGGTGTTTGCTCTATTGGACGCCACAGGAAGAGTTAGGAGTGTGCCATGCCGCTCGGGTGGTGGCTCTGGTATTGCTCTGAGCTCTGAGCTGCTATTCCAGCTATGAGCTGGTCCTTATAGACTCCATAACCAGTGTTTTCCCATCTTGTCTTTCCATACCACACTTGTGCTGTCTTTTCTGTTAGCTCGTACACATCCTTGGTTACATCTGTCACACCCTTGTCTTATCATCACACTTGTTTAAACATTTGTTCGCTACAATTCCTATTTCTGGTTTATGTTAACAAACTTACTACACGAGTTCAGTACAATTAACACACTTATTATAATGCTTGTTCACTACACACACCCAGAGGGGATCCCACAAAAAGCCAGCGCACTGAGACTCCTGGCAGAACTCTCAAGAGGCACTACCCTCACTTCCTTCTCTGGGGTCTCAAGGGGATGGGAGCCTTAGGCCAAGGGTCGCAGTCTCAGGTCAGCAACAGGGTGGAGGCTTTCAGGAGTAAATGTGAATACTTTCAGGGAGAGTGAAGATTAACTCTCCCCAAGAACACAAGGTCCCCATAGAATTGAGCTCTGCCTCTCCTGCCAGACCAAGGAGGCCCCAGAAGTAGGCCGCTGGTTTTTCTGACTTCCCCTGGGTAGGGGGAGGGGGGGAGTGACAAGGCAATTAGGACTTTTGTCTGAAGGGGCTAGACTCCAGTCAGGTAAGAGGGGAGACCCAGGTCCAGCCAAGAGGCAAGGGAAGGGGGGATTGAGGGAGGATAGATGCCCCACCCCCATGGTTGCCACTCCCCCTCCCTCTTTTCTGCTTTCCCAGCCCCTCCATTCATCCCTACTCCTGCTTCAGACCTGGGAAGCCCCAGGAAAAGTCTCCAGGTATGGTGTTTCCTGACAAGAGCATTGGGCATTTGAAGGAGATACAGCTTAGTCTGAGGGGGCCTGAGTTGGGTTAACAGAGGGAGTAGTCTAGGTCTTGCCAGGGAGCAAGGTGAGGACCCTGAGTGAGGACCGAGGTGACCTACCACAAAGACAAAAAACTCAAACTCAACTGCCATCAAGTTGTTTTCAGACTCATAGAGACCCCCGTTGGGTTTGCAAGGTTGTAAACAGTTATGGAAGTAGATTGCCTCATCTTCCTTCCACAGAATGGCTGGTAGGTTTGAACTGCTGATCTCCCAGGTAGCAGTCAAGTGCCTTATCCACTATACCACCAGAGCTCCTTACCACAAAGAAAGGCATCCATAAAAGCTTGTGCTGCTGTCAGTGCTTGGTGGCACCCTCACAATATATTGAAGAGGTGGTGGCTTTGGGCTGAGGAACACATACTAGTCAATAGAAACAAGTGGGTACCAACCCTTTCAGGAGTAAATATGATGCCTTGAGAAAGATCGAAGGCATCTCCTCCAATCTCAGGTAGGTGGACAGTTCCCATTCTGCCTTGTCCTGGTTGTCAGCCCTGTTGTTGTTGTTGTTATGTGCCGTCGAGTCAAACCCGACTCATAGCGACCCCTCCTTGGGTTTCCGAGGCAGTATCACTACGGAAGTAGGATTGCCCAACCTTCCTTCCGAGGAGTGGCTGGTGGGTTTGAACCGCCAGCTGTCTGGTTAGCAGGCAAGTGTCTTAGCCACTATGCTACCAGAGCTCCCTAGGAGACACCAAATAAGGATGGCTGAATGTAGCACCACTTCATTTTTTATTCATGGTCTCAGGGTAGTGAAGACATTGGTCTGAGGATGCTACCTCAGATCAGCAAGGGTAAGAATCCCAGGCTCTACCAGCATGAAGATAAGAACCCTTGGTGAAGACTGAAGTCCCCTCTTACCTTAGAAAAGAAAGAACCCCACAGAGTTCAGGTGTCCCCTGTACTCAGCCATATGAAGGTACTTGTCATGGCGGCCAGTTGTAGCAAGATTTTAATTCCACCTTGGACAGGATAGGGCAAGTGTCTCAGGAAGTTGAAGGACTCAAGTTGAAGGACTCAAGGTGAGAATTGAAGGTACCCTTCCCACCATAGAAAAGAAAGGACCCAACAGAATCTAGGTATCTTTTGTTCTCAGCCCTGAGAGAACCTGGGCCGGGGTGGCTAGATGTGGTATATCTTCACTTCTGCCTTGGATAGAGTAGGGCTAGTGTACCAGGGAGGTTAGGTCTTGGTCTGAGGGAGTGAAGAGAAATCTGCAGGAGGATGTTGCAGACCTTGTAAGGAAAGAGGATGAATACCCTGAGGTAGAACTGAGAGTATTCCACACCACAAAACAGATGGGTACAGACATTGCTGTCTTATGTTCCATGAGCCCCTAGGACATGATGGCAGGATATAGTAAGTCCTTACTTCCTTCTTTGTTGTCTCATTGGGGTACAGTCTTGGTCTAAGGAGTGTAGCCTCAAATCAATAGAGAGCTGAGTACCAAGCCCTGCCAGCTATCATGGTGAGGACTGAGATAATTCCCTATTCCAGGAGAGTGGGACCCCCACAGGGTTCATCTAGCCCTTGCTGTCCCACCTGAGAGGCCATAGCAGGTGTGGACAGATGTGGTGCCCCCTTACCACCTCCTTGTTGGTATCAGGAATATGAGCTCTTGTTCTGATAATTTTGCCTCAGGTCAGCAGAAGCATGGGGCCCAGGCAATGTCAGGGGAAAGGTGAAGTCCCTGAATGAACACTGAGGGGACCACCCACACCTGAACAGTGGGATCCTCAGACAGTCTGGCTCTGAAGCTCCTGCAGCACGGGGAGCCACAGGCCTATAGTTGCAGTACCTCACAGCCTGAGGTACTCCCTCAATTCTCACAGGGGCCCAGGGAACCGGAGGTGAGGGCATTGGTTGCAAATTTCCTTAGGTTATCTGAGTAGAGGAGGCCTGGGCCCTGACAGGAGTCAAGGTGAGGATCCTTTATATTTACCAAAACCTGGCACCTGCCCCAGAACAGAGGGGATACCACAGCATCCAATCCCACCTGCCCTACTTTCAGCCCTGAAATCCTTGGGGTGCGTCAACAAGCTGCAACCTGAGGATCTTGTCCCACTTTTTCTTTCAGACTCTTCAGGGCCAAGTTGACCAGGAGGATAACACAGACAGGAGCCCTACAGGAAGACCCGTAAGTCATTCTTTATCAGAGCTGCCAAGGTTGAATTTCTTAGCTGAGGCCACTCACGCTCTCCCTCTCTTCACTAGGCCTGTGGATTCCCACCTCACACCATTCTGCTCTAACTTCTCCCTTCTGCCCCCAACCAAGAATCATTATGCCTCGTGCTCCAAAGCGTCGGCGCTACACACTTGAGCAAGACCTTCAGGCCCAAATTGAAGCACAGGCCCTAGTGAGTGCACAGGTTCCAGCAGCTGGGGAGGAGGATTCTCCTCTTCCTTCCCCCTTCAGCTCCTCCCTCTTCTCTGACTTTACCTGCACCCCCACTAATTCCCCATCCTCTTCCCCTAATATCTGCACCTTTGCTTCCTCTCCGTGCTCTTCATCTTCTTCCTTCCACTTTTCTTACCCCTGCACCTCCTCCTCATCCTCTCCTCTAAACCTGAGCACCTATGATGTAGAGGTAGAGGTGCCCGCTGCTATAACACTGAGCATCCCCTCGAGTCCTGTGAGATCCTTCTCCTCCACTTCACTGAGCGTCTTAGATGAAGACTCCAGCAGCCCAGAAGAGGGGGAAAGTCCAAGCACCTCACAGGCCTCAACAGGCACCGAGGCCTCACGCAGAGATCCCGTACAAGAGAAGGTGACCGATTTGATGCAGTTCCTGCTCCTCAAGTATCAACTGAGACAGCCCATCACCAAAGCTGAAATGCTGAATGTTATGATCAAGAGTTATGAGAACGAATTCCCTTTCATCTTTGAGAAAGCTTGTCAGTGCCTAGAGGTTTTCTTTGACATTAATGTGAAGGAAGTAGACCCCACCATTCATTCCTATGTCCTTGTCAACTCACTGGATCTCACCTATGATGAGGTAGTGATTAGTGGTCAAGGCATGCCCAAAAATGGTCTCCTGATAATTATCCTGGGTGTGATTTTCCTAGAGGGTAACTCCATCCCTGAGGAGGAGATATGGGAATTGCTGAATATTATGGGAATTTATGCTGGGAAGAAGCATGATATCTATGGGGAGCCCAGGCAGCTCATCACCAAAGATTGGGTACAGAAAAAGTACTTGGAGTACCGGCAGGTGCCTAGTAGTGATCCTGCCCGCTATGAATTCCTGTGGGGTCCAAGAGCCCATGCAGAAACTAGCAAGATGAAAGTCCTAGAATTTTTGGCCAGGCTCAATGGGACTGACGCCAGTTCCTTCTTAACCTGTTATGAGGAGGCTTTAAGAGATGAGGAGGAGAGAGTTCAAGCCAGAATTGCCCTCACAGGTAGTACTACTGATAGTGCCCAGTGCACAGTGATGGCCAGTAGCCTTTCCTGCCCCCAGTAAAGACTGGGGCACATTATTCATTCTGTTTGAAGAGGGAAGTCAGTGTTCTAGGTAGTGGAGGACCAGGGTGGAGCTAGGGGAACACAGTGTGTAACTATTCTTGTTTTCTTCTTCTGTGCGGATTGCATGGAGATGTATCTTTTGTTGTTATTTTTCAAATGCTGTTCCTTTTAATAGCACGTTTCAATAGTTCAGATTCTAAGTTTATGAATGACATTAGTAACCACATTGTTTAAGAGTAAAGAGTTATGCTATACTGTAAAACAAACTAAGAAAGTATCTTATTTTGTTGTGTTCTGTAACAAGATAATGTGGAAATGTAATAAAAATTTCTTTAGATATGTAAGCTTAGCAGTAAAGTGAAGAGGGGAAAATGGTTAATTTTGGATTTCCTTATTACTTTTAGACTATGATTCTGTAAAGATAAAGATACACTTGTATTTGCTTAGCTTATTTACAAATGTAAGAGAAGTTAAATCTTAATAAATGAAAGAACCTTCTCACTGGCTCATTTATTCCCCCAAAATAAATTCCCCCAAAATGAACTCAGCTCTTTGGAAGGCTCCGTTAGTGAGGGGATCTTAGGATAAGCAAGACGTAACCCCACAAATGGAATGTTAGAAACTGTAGTTCTGTCCATGGAAATTAATTTTAAATTATACTGTGGCGGCAGAGGCAAAAATGTCAAATGATGTGTTTATGCAGTGGCCAGCGTTTTTGTCCAGTCCCTGCACGTCTGTGCTGTTCCCCAATGTGTCCTCCTGTTCAACTCTGGAACATGGCCTGCTGACCATCTTTTCACTGCCTCCAACTCTGAAGGCTGTTCCGTATTCCCAGTGGAACAGTCTAGAATCACCTCCCCACCCCTGACATAGAGCGTTCCTACTCCCTGTACAAGGAGCCTTGGTGGCACAATGGTTGCAGCACTCAACTGTTAACCAAAAGGTCCATGCTTTGAGTCCACCAGCAGCTTTGCAGGACAAAAGACCTGGTGATCTCCCCCCATAAAGATCACAGCCTAGGAAACCCCTATAGGATAGAATGTCAGAATTGATTTGACAGTACACACAGTATCAAACTCCATGTATAAGTCCCCTGGTTGTCCCATTCCCCTGGAAGCCCTCTGAAAGCAACAGCTCCTTTGAGAATGACCATGTTGACTTAGCAATTCCACTCCTAGGATTAAACCCAAGAGTTGAAAGCAGAGACTCAAAAGAGATTACATACCAATTTTTACTGCAGTGTTGTTCACAATAGCCAAAAGGTGGAAACAACTTAAATGCCCATTAGTAGATGAATGAATAAATAAAATGTGGTATATATATATA